ATAAGCATTCCAGGCTGGGTCGGGCGTGGGAGAAAGCAACAACAAGAAATAAGCCTCCTTTGACCAACATGACGGAGGCAAAAACAACAGAGCTAATTATGGATGGGAGGCAGTTGAGAGGTCCTATTACCCATGCAAGGGCTAAATTGATTAATGATATATAAAGGCAAAGATCTCTGGAATGGTAGCTTAATACTCTGACGATGTCAGCAGAGGCTGACAAAAACTTAGTAAGTACATTAAAATACACACACAAACACACACACACACTTAGCAGTTAGGAAGCATGCAAATGCAAGTAGATAAATAGGTACCACTTTGGTGGGAAGCTAACAGTGTTCCATGACTTCGGACAGTGCTGGCTCAATGGCCTTGACAGATGAGCAGCGCCCCCTAGAGACTGCAACAACTAGTATCTACAGAGACTCCTTTACCTTTTTCACCCTTTTTTAACGGAATAATGCATTACAATGAAAGTGGAATACTATTGCTAAAACTACTTACTCAACGTATTTGCTTGAAGAGTTCTCTTTGCTGTTCGTCTGTGATGAATCCGAAAGAGCCATGAACACGCAGTTAGTCAAAATAGTGAGCATGATAAACCAAGTAAACAATGTGAATTATAGGAGTTTAGGAAAATGATGTTTTGGGAACATGACACTAGTCCTCACTGTCCACAGCTTACCGGTACTGTCCACATAAAATTGTTGCTCTTGGGTAGGTCCAGATTCCTAATTTACTTAAAACAGATGCAAATAAATAGGGTAACTCTGAACTAGCTCGGGGAGAAATTATTTAATCTCTGAACAGCAAGCATTTTCTTACATTTCTCCTGGAGAACATAGGGACTTCCACATTAAAAAAAAAAGACAGAATGAAAATGGGGGCAGGAAGCAATTAGGTAAAGGATATGAATGAACTAAAACTTTAATTGTCATCCGCCTAATTCTGTGGAAAGGACTTAAGATGTACAAAGCCCGTGTGGCAGTAAATCGAAAGATTGTTTTCCTTTTATTCAAGACCATAAATGTCTGCAGAAGAAAAAGAAAGACGTTAACTGGAAAGATTCACATAAAACCTGGTTGCTCTCCCAAAATAGGCAGTCCTAGACTTACGACCACAAATGAGCGGGGCTTGTGGTCATGTGACTGGGTGGGCATGGCTTGGTGGCCATGTGACTGGGTGGGCATGGCTTGGTGGCCATGTGACTGGGTGGGCATGGCTTGGTGGCCATGTGACTGGGTGGGCGTGGCCAACTCAACGTCACTCACAGCAAGGGGTGCCTCACCTGGCCCCTCCCCTCCCAGCCATTCCTTGTCACCCAGCCTCAACTTTATCTATAGTTCTGTAAAAATATTGTTCACCTTTTTTGACTTTATTATCTGCACACTATAGATGTACTTTCATGGACCACTGAAGGGAGGAAATGGCTCACATGCTTTGCCCAAGAGTGTGATAGGCAACAGGCTTTTAAGGGGCTGCCACAAAGAAAGGGGGACAATGTATTTGCCAAAGAAGCAGAATGCAAACAAGAAGCAATGGATGGACACTGAATAGAGAGAAGCAACCTAAAACTAAGGAGAACAATTAACCAGTGGAACTGCCTGTCTCCAGAAGTTCTGGGTGCTCAATCACTGGAAGTTTTTAAGAAAAGACCAGACAGCCATTTCTCTGAAATGGTATAGGGTTCCCCTCAAGGTCCCTTCTAAGTGTTATTCTGACACCTTTCCCAGGATTTCTACTCAGAGTTTGGCATCCTCAGTTTTCTTGCCTGAGCAGGGGGTTGGACTAGAAGACCTCCAAGGTCCCTTTCAACTCTTGTTAAACACATGTGTATTTTATGCTCTGGACTATTGACATTGAATGCATGTAAACCCTAAAAAATATGTGGTAGCCCAGGGCAAAAGAAAGGCAGAAAAATCACTCTCGGTGTAGGGACAGTGTAAAATATTAACACATGATAAATAATGGAACAATTAAAAATAATAGCACAGAGTT